GATTTATTGAAAAACGATAACTCCCAAATGACAAACAAGCTATTCTCCACCATCTAGCAGGTTTTGAAGTATAATGAACCAAAAATAACAGATTGTGACTAACCCAAGGTTATTCTATAAGCACTAGTGAAAAGAGGCACAGCCCCAATGGCTAGATCAAACCAAGATGTCGTATTCACTCATATATATTTATAATTTTGCCCTAAGCGACTAAATTTTCTAGATCCGCCCCCGCCCCCGCCCGCCCCCGCCCTTACCATGCATATATGTTTAGTTTTAATTTTGTTTTACATTATGATTGATTTTTTATATAATACATCACTAATGTTCCACAACTAGTATTCTAACATCTACATCCACCACTTATGTTCCACAGCTAGTAGCCAAAGTCGGGCCCCCTTACAAGTAAATTTTAATTTTAATTTTATTTTGCATTATGCTTGATTCTTTATATAATACACATAATAGCCACGACCGAGGATGATTTGTAAACCACCCCTACAATATACTATATGGACACCCGATGGGTTAGTATCATTTATTGTACTAATATCATATTGATTCATATTATTTTATCAAATAGTACTTGCATAATCTTCTTTTATTGTCTAGATAGAGGGGGTGCCTCTACATCCACATTAGCAGCTCGTCCTCTACACCTAAGAAATTACTGTCCTAATCGTGCTGCTAAACGGGCGGAGAAGCGTGCTAAGAAAGCCGAAGACATATTTGTATGCTTTTCATTAAGATACTAGCTAGAAATAAAACTGTCAATAGAACTTATGAAAACTGCATATTTTAGCATACCTATCAAATTTTGAACTCTATGCATGTTCTTTCTTGGATTGTCTTTCAATGAATTTCTAAAAGGAAGGTACATAACTGAGAAAATGTTTTAGGCCTTCATAAACATTCAGTCTCTTTCTCTCCGTCACAAACACACATGCACACGCTCTCTCATATACTCATGTTTTGTCAAGCTCTCTATCTATGTTCGCTTCTAATCTTTCATGTGACACTTCTTATGTTTGTAACTTCAGGCTCCGTTAGTGCACAAAGTGTTGAAATGTACTTCATTATATAGTTTGGGTCCAATCTTGTTATATATATATATATTTGATGCAGACCTGCCAAAACGTCTCAAGACTTGAGGGCCAAATAAAGCCCACTAAGGCCCGATCCTGAGAAAAACGAACTAGCATTCCCTTCGCATTTTGACGAGTACTCTAAAATATACTATTAGTGCTAGGCAGCAGCAATGATTTTAATTTGGAGAATAAAATATCCTACTAGTGTTAAGGCTACAATTTGGATTGGGTCTAATCTTGTTATATGTATTTTCGATGCAGGCTTGCCAGGGACATCTCAGAAGACTCGAGGGCCAAATAAAACCCATTAATTAAGGCCCGACTTGGGAAGAACGAACCAACAACCCCTTTGCATTTTGACGAGTATTTCTAAAATATACTATTAGTGCTAGTGCTACAATTTGGATTGGGTCCAATCTTGTTAATATATATATTAGATGCAGGTCTGCCAGGGACGTCTTAGAAAACTCGAGGGCCAAATAGAGCCTATTGATTGAGGCCCGATCCTGAGAAGAATGAACCAGCAATCGCTTTGCATTTTGACAAGTATTTCCACGTCACTGACCCCAGTGCCGAAAGATTTGGACAGTTAGCGGGGCGAGTTGTCAATTTAAAAACTATCCACTTCATAAGAACTTGAACATCAATGTCCATTGGTAAGTTCTTCCTCCAAGCTAAGCTTTAAATACATTATGAATTTGTAATATCAAATTAATTTAGTATCATTTGGTACCTATCTAGTTTAATACACTAATTTTGTTAATTATGCAAAAAGATAATGAGTTTCTGCCCGTAAATCCATATTGTCTTCTCAACCTTCCTACTATTTATCGATACATGAGATGAAGATGCAGGAGAGTTCAAGGCAATCGAAATCAGGTGGAGTGTTATAAACAATGGTTATAGACTCCTGATGAGAAGAGAAATGATTTTTTCCAAGTAAGAGGTGTTATCAAGGATTGATAAAATATGATGGGATAACCTATACACATTTTATTCTTCTAATAGCAAGCAGATATATGTGATCAAAATGGTTAAACAAACGATTCAATGTCTAAATCTTACATTATGGGTGCCTCAAGCAGCATAGTTCAGGCAAATTAGAGTGGTAAATTTAACTTTTTTAAAATGGTTAACAATTCAATGTTTAGTATGTACTTATTTTCATATCGCAATATAAATCTTACATTATGGGTGCCTCGAGGAGCATGGTTCGAGCAAACTAGAGTGATGAAATTAATTCTTACGAGTTCATTGGAAAAATGCATTTTTTATTTTATGATGTGATAAATTATTAAGTATATGTTTTGGTGAATTACAGAGAGATCAAATCAAAGAATCGGGTAGTACTTCTAGTGCATTGAAGGAGTATTTGGGTAACCACATGATGTTAGTCGATCCAGCAACTGATACATGTACATATCCTGAAACCCAAACCTAGCAATATCGTGTTAGTGTTAGTTCTTTAACTAATTGAAATAATCTTCTTGAGGACATCACGGTGATTATGAGAGAAGCTTAGGTCACGGTGGCACCGGATTTTATTTAAACTCCCTCCACCGCATCATTTGCTGCTACTACTCCTTATGTCCTTCATGAGATGGTTAAACTGATGTGCAAGATGGAACGAACTAGAAATACTAAACTTAGCTATGTACACATGGACACATTTCATACATGTACACATAATAGGAAAACCTTCTACAGGAGATACTAAACTTAGCTATGTACATATGGACACACATTTCATACATGTGCACAAATTAGGAAAATCTTCTAACAAATGCTCAATATTATCTTATCTTCTCACACACTCCCACTCATACGTACACCCGTACTACTTTACAAGTTGATTCTCCTACCGCTCCTCCACCTTCAGCCATTCCAGCTACTTCTACTCAACGGCTTTTGCTCATCCTTCTCCTGATGCTTAGGGTTCATTCTACGGTTGCTGCTCAGCATTCTTCTCAGGATATTTCAACACAAAATCCTCTTGCTAGTTGATTAGGGGGCTTGTTAAGGGGCTTGACGTAGTAGGGCTACGACGAGTCATAAGATTTTTGTCAACTTTCTTTGATTCAGTTAGCAGTGATTTGTACTTTTTAGATATTTGGGACATTGTACATTATGAATACTCTTTAAGTTTGTGACTTATAGTTGTTTAAAATTTACTATTCATAGTTTGATTTTAATAAATCTTTTGTTTTAGTTTATGACTGCGTATGGTATTATTTTGATTTTAATAAATCTTTTGTTTTAGTTTATAACTGCGTATGCTATTAGGATCTTCAATCCATTTTAAGACATTTATGATTTCAGTTGTATAATTGCATGGGAACATTATTAAGAACAGGTTGATTATATATTTCTTTAGGGTATGAATTGTATGTATCACAGGAAAAATGAAAAAAAGAATAAACAGCACCAATAGTTTCAACCATTGATGCTAAATCATTGGTGCCAAAACGCGCACCACCTGATTACCCGTAAAAAGAATAAACAGCACCAATAGTTTTAACCATTGATGCTAAATCATTGGTGCCAAAACGCGCACCACCTGATTACCCGTTGGTGCACGATATAGCACCAACATATTTAACCATTGGTGCAAGTCTTAGCACCAACAGTTATAACCGTTGTTGCTAATCCTCGCACCAACGATGCTAACCGTTGCTGTTGGATTTTATTAATTTTTTTAAATATAAAATAAATTAATTTCTTGGACCAACGGCTAAAAGCGTTGGTGTATCACACGTTTAGGCTGAATTAGCTCCAACGTGATTTTGCTCCAACGGTTATTTTGTTTTACCCCAACGATAATTGTTGGTGTAAGGATCAAACCTGACGGTCAAAACCATTGGGGCAAACCCCCTTTGTAGTAGTGAAGTGAGATTATGTTTACACAACGTTTTGATGAGACGCGGACATAATAATTAACTTCACCCTCTCGTGTATCAAAACCAAGGATTATTGGGCAACATGGAACTTATTGTACTTAACCCAAGGTTGGCCCGTAAGAGAAATTCTTCATGACTTTTATAACTGCAACTGACAAAGGAAAATCAAGATAAATCTGGCAAATTAAAACCACAGAAGTATTAGAGTGACAAAAATCTTACATTTTGAAAGTGCAACAAAAATATATAGAAACAAAAAACATTCAGTGCCAACTAGAGTCAAAACTTTCAATTATAGAAATCAAAACTCTAAAATGACAATAAAGCTATTTTTCATCAACAGTTGTAACTAAGATGGTTATTCGGTCAATATTAAAATTAGCACACCAAATAATAATTAGAATAGCTATAAGGTTAAATATGTTAGCTATGCCCTAAAAATTAGATAAAATTGATCTAAAATAGAGATCCAAATTCCACATCAGTGAATAACTATATTCAAGATTAAGATCCAAATTGCACAAGATAAACAAAGAAACTAGAACAATTACAAAACGTTAGCAACTTAACATACATTTACCTTAAATTTTGAGATCAAATTAGCCATTTTAAGGTAAATACATAGAAGTATAATAAAAAAGCTTACTCGTTCAAAAGCATAACAGAAATAATAGGAAAAAACAACTTCTAGTGTCAAACCCATAAATGAAAATCAATCTCGCTGATCACCTGAATAGAAAAAACTTGTAATAAAAAAAGTATAGAAAAAACATACAATTTAAAAGCCTAAAAGTAATATAGGGAAACAAATAACTTAGTGTCAACTAACAAGCAGAGTTTTTAATATTGAAGCAAACCTCCAAAATGACAATAAGAACTTAGTGTCAACTAACAAATAGAGTTTCTAATATTAACCTCCAATAAAGCTATTCTTCATCACCTAGCCAACCACAGAGGAAACATTGTGCAGTGTCTAAGCGAAGTTTGCTCTGTAAAATATCAAGGGAATATGGAGAAGTTTGCTCTTAAAGACTGCAAAGGCTACTAAAAAATTATATTATCCAGTATGTGCTTCAATTAGTGTGCGAACTCCCAATGATATAGCGTCAACAAATCACAGAAATGAATTGAACAAATCCCAATACGAAATTATTTGCCAACAAAACTATTTTCAGTTAAGATAACCAAAGAATTGCCCGACAAGCACCTTACGATGCCCAACTCAAGAATGCCCCAAAGAATATCTCAAGTACTCAAGACTCTCTGGAAACAAGACTCTCCATTCTTCAGTCTGGCAAATCAAAACTTTAGCACACAGCAACGAAGCCAGATGCCCCAAGAAAATTGATATCCAATCCGTTATCCTAAAGGTAAGATATCAACCAAAGGAACATAATAAGTCAGATCAAAGGAGCATGCAATAAGGAAAATGATTGGAATGAAAAATCCGAGCTCAAAACAATTAGAACAGTTAATAAGTTCAACGTTAGCACACCATGGAATTAGAAATGTTACAGTTACAATTAGAATGGTTATAAGGTCAATGTTAGCACACCAAGTAATTAGAAATGTTATACTTGCAAAGGTTATACGATCAATGTTAGCACATCAAAATAGATGAGAATCAGAACAGTTATAACTAGGAACGGTTATGAGGTCAGTGTTGGAACAGTTATAATTAGCACACGCAAGATAATAATTAAAATGCTTATAAAGTCAATGTTACAAGATCAAATACCCTAAAAATTAGGTAAATTAGATTTAAAATAGTGATCTAAATTCCATATTCCAAAATATCAGCACCTAACTAAATTCAAGATTAAGATTACAAGACAACAAAATTGGAACGATTATAAAGTCAGCATTAACAAACTTACATCTTTAAATTAGAGATTAAATTAACCAATTTAAGGTAAAAGTATAGGTAAACAAAAAAACTCATAATTCAAGAGAGTAAAAGAAAAATAGAGAAACAAAAAACTTGGCGGTTCCAAACTCAAAATGAATATCAAGATGACTCTGGCAGATGACATGGAAGTATAGCGACAAAAACTTTCAGTTCATAAGCGTAAAAGGAATGTAGGGTAACAAAAACTTTGTGCCAACTAACAAGCAGTGTCAAACTCACAATGAAAATCAAGATGATCTCAAGCTCTTAGGACTTACTGAACTCTCTCTACTAATCAGTCTGGCAAATAAAAACCATAGAACAAACCAACAAAGAATATAGAACTTAGGATACATAAACCAAAATTGTTTCATTATATCACTAACTTTCATTTACACTTGGAAACATAATGTTTGAGATCCATCCACACTTGCAAACATAATATCTGAGATCCTAAAAGAATCACAATAAATTATCAGTGCTATCGCGAGGATGATCTAATTAACCATCTGAAAAAAAATAAACAAGAAACCTAACGAGGCAGACATTAAAACAAAACATGATAAAATCCATCTCAAAACGGGACGCTCACCGTGTAACAATCAGTGCCCTAAAAATATTCAAGAACAACTAAATTGCACAAGATGAAACTAAACAGGTAGAATGATTATAAGGTCAGCACTAGCATACCAGAAACCAAAAAACTTGAGAATTAATCCCCGCTGTCGTAAGGTAAAATATCAACCAAAAAGATGTAGTAAGTCGGATCAACAGAGAATATAACGATAAAATCGGTCTAAAAGCGAAATCCTATTACACAATAATCAATGCCCTTGGTCTAATCAAAACAATTAGAGTGGATATAAGATCCATGTTAGCAACCCAGATAATCAAAACTATTATTATTAGAATAGTAATAAGATCAACGTCAGCAAAGAACGTAACCTAAAAATTAGATAGGAACCAGAACGGTTAGAACTACAAAGATTGTGAGGTCAATGCAAGAACGGTTATAACTATCACATCAGAAAATCATAATGACAACGGTTACAATGATTGTGAGGTCAATGCAAGAACGGTTATAACTATCACATCAGAAAATCATAATGACAACGGTTACAATGTCAATGTTTAGCATATCACATACCCTAAAAATTAGAGAAATCAATCTAAAATAGAGGTAAATTCCATCGTATCAATGTGTGTTTGGCAAATCCACTAAACTTGTTATAGTTGATACAACCTTGGTCAAATATCTTGTTTTTCAGTTTGGTAAAAATTGGGCCCATGTTGAACTAGTTTGCCAAAAATTAGGATGTTAATATGCATCTCAATTGAAAACACAACCAGACAACTTTTAAACTTTTTTTCTTTGTACATATACAAAATGCCTGAAACTATCTTCAGATACACTGAGATAGTCTACATGTTCAACTGACGTTGTAGCTAACATTTTCAGTGCTTTCACAATCATTGATCACAACCAATAGATCAAATTTAAAATTACTAAGCACTTAGCACTTCATACAGCCTCTTTTGTAGAGCACAGTTCTATAATTTCTGGATAACCTACTTCAAGATCACACGGCCGAAAATATTTGAGACCAACAAAGTTGAAATCTTTGTCAATGATATTTATGGCTCTTCTTTTGACATAATCTGTACGATTTCTGTATTTAATGTTTCTCAAGAAAAACAAAAGGTCTTTTGACACCCTCTTTTACCCCACCTTATATTATTCATTCATATAAATGTGGTTTGTGTGAATTTAAATTATTTTATTCAAGAAGAGAGGTCGTCGAAAGTTTAAGTTGAAGTCTTAAAACATATTATATATTAGCAATGACAAAATGTCCCCTTGTTCCTAAAGTTCTGATTTTGTAATAATTTCTTCATGTAATGCGTTAGATACATTATATATAAATTTAGAATGTTTATAATGATTTTAATAATATATCATATTTTGTATTGAATTTGAGATATACGTATCTCAATTTTAATTGTGGCAATTAAGTGGAGGGAGGAAGGGAGAGAGAACAAATAAGAAGTAAAACAAAAGGACTTTTGACACCCTCTTTTACCCCCACCTTATATAAGCATGTGGCTCAAACAGAGTCTTGTGAGGGCAAGCTTCCTACGACACTTGTTGAGGTCATTAATATTGGGAAACAAAAACTACTTATGATAATGATAAATATAGAACTAAATTAAACAAATTCCAGTGTTGATAATTATAGGGGTTAAACTACTTACAGTGCCTAACCGAAGATCGATTTGTACAACACCTCCAAGTCCTCAGAAATCTTGGGAGCCTAAATAATTTTAACCTGTGTGGATCGCAACCATAGAACAGACCAACAAAGAACATATTATATATAAGAACAAAGCTAGCTTTTTTACCATCTAGGGTGCCAAGTCTATACAATCTGCAACCAGCCACCATCTGTACTTGTGAAATAAATATAGAGATCCTAAATATTATAAGTATATTTTTTGGGCTTATAGAAAATTTCATTCAATAATACAAAAAAATATTCTGATAACTTAAAAATAAATTAATATAAGCCTCCAGTTTACCAACCAAGAAGTCTTGGCCTACAAAGAGAAAGAAATCATGTTCCAGTAGTTGTGGCCTGAAATTACAGAAGTCAAAAAGTCATTTCATGTAGATAGAAAGCGACAAAGTTGAGACAGTACAAAGAGTGTGACAACCGAGAAAGAAACACAAGACAGGGAAAAGTTGAAACTGAGACAAGCTGACATGCAACTCCTGTGCATAAACTATAAATTGAAAAATTCCTTGGGGACCCCAAATCATGGGACCCAAGGGGGGACATGTGAGGTGTCAACCCTTGGGTGCATGATCTATTATTCATGAACAGTAGATCATGCACCCAGGGGTTGACACCTCACCTGTATAAATTAGTCTGCTCACAGAGCAACTCAGCCGGTAAAAGGTAAGGATTCGAAAAACATGTATAGAATATAAAACAGAAGACAGAAAAGATAGCAACTTGCATAAACCAAAATTTTAGCCCATTCAGAGAGCAACAAAAGCTGTACGTGAAGTTCTCTTAAATGTCGTTAGAAGTCAAATTTTCACAAGTACTATTTTGTCCAATCATTTTCTACAGAGAACTACAACGGACCTTAGTTTCTCCAACCTGCAAGTTATCATGATTTGCAATTTGACAGTTATCTAGGCCCCAGTCCATAAACCCATGAACCACATTAAAGAAATACCTGCCAGTACTCTCAATCCGATGAATTGGGCTTAAGTGCAATTTATCTACTGGTTACCTGTATGCACATGTGCACGTGCAAAGAAAATCAATAGGAGTATATGCTTGCATACAAAATGATGTCCTCTAATCTAAGTTGCATGGGTACAGGTATGGGTATAGGACACGACAAATTCGTTAAAGTTAAGGACGCGAACACGACTATATACATGTATGTTATGTATATATTTGTATTAAAATTAATAATTTACATAAGATCAATGTTCTTTTTTCATTTACATAAGATTAACATATAAAAAAATAGACGTGAAGTGTGGGTCCACTAGTGTGAACACCGTGCAAAGCATGGCATATTTTTCCCCACTATAGTAATCCCGGTTCATTTTTGAATTTTTAATTGCAACAGTATCCTGCCTCCGCTACACATGCGCTACAGTAATATTTTTTTCAAAAATGGTGTCCAGTTTTTCATTTTGCTACAGTGGTATTTCCTGTAGCATGAATAGTGAATCTTCTCCCATGTGTATATAGAGGAATAGATTTCAAATTAAACATGTATTATATAATCGAGCATACGCCTAAATAAATGTATGCATATATTCAAGAATATACGCCCAACAAGTGGTATTTCAATTAAAACATATGTTATATAATCGAGCATACGTCTGAATAAATGTGAATAAATTTATGTATATATTCAAGAAGTGTCCAAGAAGTTTCAGTATGATTACAGGTACGTGTTGGTAGAAGTACCCAAGTAACATAGCCTCTAGTACTACAAGAAAAATAATACTAGCAAACAATAAATTTAATGTAGAGTAGTGCTTCCTTTTTCGTCTTCCATTACAAGAACTATCACTAACCCTGTGCCGTTTATTTTGATAATTCATAAATATTAACATACATATCAGTACAACGAAAATCAATCTCAGGCCAGGGATGCTCAAAAACTATGATAATTTATGAAGCTATTGCTAGAACCGATCTACAACCACTGTACTATCAATGAAAGAAACTACAATCATTAGCACCATTGAGGCAAGGATCATATTTGTATGGATAAACTGATCATGGAATTAACTTACATCTAAAGTTAAACCAAAATTCCACAATGCATAGCTTCAATGTTTTCCAGAGCAAGTTCCTTTCGGGCTTAAAAACTAAAACTGCACAAGATGACTCTTAAGATCAGGTTAAACATACCCCACTATAGAGAAAAAGAGACACCTGGGAGGGAAGTGTTTGACAAGTATTTTAAGTTTAAAAAAATATCGCATAATTGAGTATATGTTTGAAAAAATGTGATACGTGTCGGGTACAGGTACGGCTTCCTGATAGGAGAACCCGAGTAACATAGCGGCAGATGATTTCTTAAAAAGATGACACCACAACTCGTAACAAAAATTCATGTTAATTATTTTCTAAAAGTTGTTACAAATTATAGCCACAATCATAGGACATATGGTTTCTGAAAAAGATGATACCACAACCTGTAACAAAAATTCATGTTTATCAATTATTTTCTAAGAGTTGTTACAAGTTGTTATGGCCACAATTATATATTTTTACAAAAACTCATGTTTATCAATTATTTTCTAAAAGTTGTTACAAGTTATGGCCACAATTATATGTTTTTTCATTCATAGTTTATATGGCCACAATAATATATTTTTACAAAAACTCATGCTAATCAATTATTTTCTAAGAGTTGTTACAAGTTATGGCCACAATTATATGTTTTATCATTCATAGTTTATATGAAAGTAACAGAATGTCATATTGAAAAATCATGACATAGCACTATAAACTTCGGACCTGATACACAGTTAACATGAAATGTAGCCACAATCATAGGTCATATGGTTTCTGAAAAAGATGATACCAGAACTTGTAACAAAAATTCATGTTTATCAATTATTTTCTAAGAGTTGTTACAAGTTATGGCCACAATTATATGTTTTATCATTCATAGTTTATATGAAAGTAACAGAATGTCATATTGAAAAATCATGACATAGCACTATAAACTTCGGACCTGATACACAGTTAACATGAAATGTAGCCACAATCATAGGTCATATGGTTTCTGAAAAAAATGATACCAGAACTTGTAACAAAAATTCATGTTTATCAATTATTTTCTAAGAGTTGTTACAAGTTATGGCCACAATTATATATTTTTTCATTCATAGTTTATATGAAAGTAACAGAATGTCATATTGAAAAATCATGACATAACACTATCAACTTCTGACCTGATACACAGTTAACATGAAATGTAGTTTTTTAACCTAATACAAGTATCAATACATGCTCTGATTTTAATGACATTTAGAAAAGGATTTTACTGAAAAATCATGAAATAACACTATCAATTTCTTACCTGATACAAAGTTAACATGAAATGTAGTTTTTTTTACCTAAATACAAGTATCAATACATGCTCTGATTTTAATGACACTTAGAAAAGGAGTTTACTGAAAAATCATGACATAACACTATCAATTTCTGACCTGATACACAGTTAACATGAAATGTAGTTTTTTTACCTAAATACAAGTATCAATACATGCTCTGATTTTAATGACATTTAGAAAGTATGGAACTTAAGACGTTCAAACACAAAAGAATATTAATAGCAAGAAGTCGCCTTAAATTGCTGTGATCCAAAGGAGGAATCCTTGAGAAATTATTAGAACTGGTAATAGTTTCTGCAAAGATAATCCATCTCACCTATTGAAGTACTACTACAAATTCACATAAACAGAAGAAACTACATATAAACAGAACAAAACCTAATCAACAAAACTCCAAACAGAACAAGAAAGAACAAGGCACAGCTACAAAGATAATGTAATAATAGAAATGGCAAAAATGTAAGTGTGGATAGTAAAACTAGCATAGAAGAGAAACGCCAAGAAATGAAGGCAAAACAGGAAACTAGAAAAAGTGAACTCTGCAGAAAACAAGGGAAAATACAAAGATAATGCCAAATAACCCATGAATGTTGAATGAAAAATAGACTTTCACAATCATATGTTTAAATGTTGCATTACAAATGGACAGCAACCTGATGCCAAGTCTACATAAAAGTTCACAAAAAACTCACTGAAGTGACCACATAATGTCGCTACATGGGAAAACTTAACATGTAGAATCTTGACACCCTCAACTGAATGGTCCACCTGGACTACTGCTGTACATGATGATTTTAATTCTTCATGTAGAAACTTGACACCCTCAATTGAATGGTCCACCTGGACTACTGCTGTACATGATGATTTTAATTCTTCATGTAGAAACTTGACACCCTCAATTGAATGGTCCACCTGGACTACTGCTGTACATGATGATTTTAATTCTTCATGTAGAAACTTGACACCCTCAATTGAATGGTCCACCTGGACTACTGCTGTACATGATGATTTTAATTCTTCTGATTTCTAATTCCACAACTCAAGGATATAACCCTAGTAGCTGTCTCCCAGAATGGATTTCCTGTGTTGCTAAACTAGGACAGTGGTCCACCTGAACTACTTCTGTTGTACATGATGATTTTAGTTCTTCCACAACTCAAGGATATAACCCTAGTAGCTGTCTACCAGAACGGATTTCCCATGCTGCTAAACTATGACAGTCTCCATGCTCTTCACCCTTCTAAATTTCTCCCTTTAGTAAGGCATATGCTTCTGTAAGCACAAGATAAGAGAATAATTTCTAATTGATTCTTGTCCAACTTAATCATGAATTGTCTTATAGAAGCACAAGAGAATAATTTCGAACGGAATCTTGTGCAACTTAATCATGAATGTCTTTATGCCCTTCGACCACATAAATTTGTTTTTCCATTTATTAAAAATTAAGAGGGGCGTGACCTTAATATACCAGAATGAACTTCCAATGGCTGTCTAACCCCAGTTGACATAATAATGGCTGTCGAACCCCGTTGACATAATAAGATACCACCCTCAACATAGACCAGACCAAGCAAGTGATACATCCCTCAGATATTAGCAGAATAGAAGGTTCGACAGTACCAAAGCACCTCTCCCAAACCGAAAGTCCAACACTAACCAATAGTAGTAGTAGATATCATATCAGCTTCAAGCCCTTTAGCGGGGACATGATTCTCGAATACAGAACCGACAGTGCAAAAATCAGATATGAAAAGAACGCTGATCTCACATATCAAACAGTAGAATATCAACCACCGAACTCTTAACCACAGAAAAAGGTAGCCACTGTGATTTCAAAATCTATCTCATGCAAACAAAGCTCCAGACCACAGAATATAGAAAATCAAACCTGAAAAATTAGTTGAAAGGTCACAAAACAAACATACCGAGAAGATCCGCAAAAATGCCCATGCCAAACTGGCATGATTTAGGTGAGGAAAGCAGAGATCTCAGTGATCAATTAGGCTGCCTAATCCGGGTCATCAACTGGATAATCTTCTGATAACAAGAAAGTAAATCAACATCTTCCTACCACCGGAGCTGCTATTCATTGCATTCTTAATCTCCACATGAACAGACGACCCCACCCCAGAGAGTTCTCTGTATCAATTAACAGCACAATTAACAGCACAATCTAAAGTTCTATTTCATTATTGCTTCAACCTAACTTCTTAACTATCACTTTTCTGAACTCATTCCATTTCATTCTTCGTTTCAGCTGAAACAATTATCTTGTCCAACTAACAATGACCATAAAGCTTTTATTGGATTTGGTCTGATTGAACCCAGACCATCATATCTTCCTACATTAGTTTAGTGTGTCTCTGCATTTAAACCAAGTAGTTGATTCTGAATCCTGATTGTCACTCATCTGCACTTATCCTCTAGGTTGCATAGGTATGGGTACGGGTACGGACACGGGTACGGGTACGGGACACGGCAAATTTGTAAAAAGTAGGGTACGGGGACACGGCTCATATATATATATATATATATATATATATATATATATATATATATTTCCATATGCATTAGAATAAAATCATACAAAATTTGAAGCTAATTTAGAGGTTTCTTAAATCCAAGAAATTACTGCTACAAAGAATGACTATATGTATTACTAAAAAGATATAGTAAGAGATCATTTTATAGGGCTCTTATTTAAATCCTGCTCTTAATATCCGATTCTCAATTCATATCTACATTTATTTTTAAGATTTCTATAATCAAATCAATGTAAGAAACTCTCTAATAATATACAAGGGATAGCATAGCAGATATGAGATGCCACCTCATTTTAGCTAAATGAGCCATCAAGAGACGATGAGCTTGAGCTTGACATATGGAGGAACCAATACATGATAACATCATTTACAAAAATAACCCAACTTTGGCCTTATCTATCAATGGTGAACTTAAATGAGAGAAACTACACATCATTAAATAGATTTTGTCCACAATTCTTGCTAAACCTAATGCAGCGACCGCAAAAGATCGAGACTTTACCGCCCAATTGACTCTCTAATAACCGTAACGACAGAAATACAACCCAACCCCTCGGAAAAATGGACAAAACCCAGAATCAGACTAAGAGAAACAAGAACAAGGGAGAATTAGGGCATACCCATGAGAGCAGAGATCTTGCGGATTGCCTGAGGAGATGCGGAGGCGGCGGAGGAGGAGGTGAAGGTCCTCCTGCAGAGCTCGTATAGAGCTTGTACTGAGGACCCCTTCGCCATTGCTCCTCGCAGAGCTTAGAGGGCTTGCTTGCTGTGATTTCAACCTGAAGGGTTAGAATGAGTGAAGGAAGAGATTGATGGTTCTGTTTTGGGAGAATGGGGGTTTGGAGAAGGAGATAAAGGCTAGATCAGTTGCCGCTGTTTGCAGTTGGGTTTTTTTTTTTTTTTCACTTCCCAAATGGCAAAGCCTGGTTCCCTGGATGGAGAGATGAAGATACGGCATCAATCCATCTTAGAACCTGGTTTTTTTCCGCCCCTTGGTAAATATCAGAAAACCCCTCTTCACTTTGGATGATCGTAGGTAAACCCTTGTTAGCTTTCCAAACATCAGAAAAACTCCCCCTTAAGTACGGGGATTATCACAACAAGCCCCATTTAACTTTCAAATTTTATTAGAAAACCCCTAAATGTGAGGGGGGTTTTCTAATATTTTGAAAGTTAAGGGGGTTTCTGCTAATTATCTAAAGTTAAGAGGTTTTATGATATTTAGCCCCTTTTTTGAATAAATTACACTAAGGGGGTGTTTGGCAATCTGAAAGTAAATTTAAAATATGTAAGTTACTTTTTTTTGCAAATGACTTTTACATCCATGTCAGCACGCAAGTGAAATACAGTGTTTGTTTGAAAAATTAAATTATTATCGAAAGTGCAATGTGATGATGACGTGGCAAAATAAGATTAATTAGAAAATATAATTAAAATTATTTAATTAAATTAGTTACCTTTTTGTCACTTTCATGTGACTTCACCACTTTTTTAGGGGAAGTCAAAATTGCATTAAATCTTATGTGGCAACTTTCTTACATCTCACTTTCATAACCACTTACATGAAAACAAACACTTTAATTGTTAAATGAAAGTAACTTCCTCACTTTCATCTTTCACTTGCATGCAAACAAACACCCCCTAAACCACAGTCGTTCCGTAAAAGATTTACCAAGTCCTCAGCTCTCTTTGAAACTAAAAACTCCCAAATGACAATTAATCTTCACCATCTGACAGATTAGAAACATACAAGAATTATAAGCCGTAAGATATTCTTATGCAGATCAAATCACAGCAGATCAAATCACAGAAGATCATCCGCGAAATATCTCAAGTCCACCGAACTTAGGCAGATCAAAACCATAGAAGAGGTACAAGAAAACAAGAAGCTTACAATGCTTCCCCCAAGGTTGTTCAATAAAACATGTCAAGTCCTCAAGAATATTTGGACTCTCAGACCAAAACTCTCAAAAGATAATTAACTCCAGGCAGATCAGCCCCATAGAATTATTAGGCAACAAGAAACTTGACAGTGCCTCACACATTGCGCTCCACAAGAGATATCGAGCCCTCTAAACATTTTGACACCAGAACTCCCAAATGACAAGCTACCAAGTCTTCACCATCTGGTGAATCAAAACACTAGAAGATTTATTGGGCAATCAAAACCATATCAAAGAATTATTGCTCAATGAAAGATCTCTAAACATCAGAACTTTTTGAAGCCAAAGCTCCATCATGATAATCAAGCTATTCTTCACATCCTGGTAGAGCAAAACAATCAAAGAGGTAGGTACAAGAAGATTACAGTGCCTAACAAAAGGCTGCTCCATAAGAAGTGTAGAACCTTTTGCAACCAAAGCTCATAGATTATAATCAAGCTATTCTTCACTATCTAGCAGAACCATCGAAGAGGTATAAGGAAACAAAAGCTTACAGACAAGACGCTTACAATGCCGAACCCAAGGTCACTCCATATCGTCCTCAGAATTTTTTGAAACAGAGAACGCAAGAAGGTTGTTCTTCACCATCTGTCATACCAAACCATAAATAATGGTTCTGTAACAAGAGACTTACAGCGCATGGCCCCTGCCTGACATTAAATTTATCAAGAATTTTTTGAAACAGAGAACACAATTAGGTTGTTATTCACCATCTGTCAGACCGAACCATAAATAATGGCTCGTAACAAGAGACTTACAGCGTATGTCCCCTGGCCCTGGCTGACATTAAATTTATCAAGAGCTCAAGACTTCATGAAACTGAAACCGCTAATGTCTAACAAGGTGGTCTGCACCATCTGCCAGATAAAAAGGAGGTACAGCAAACACAGACTTACATCGTCAAGTATTGTGGACAATTTACATTGCCGAATAATGTGCAAGCTTCCTATGATACTTCATCTACTGTCCAAGATCTCATAACTACAGCTCACAGAGCTGAACTACACAAATACATAGGATATTGTTGAGCAACAAAACACTTACTGTCCAAGATCGCAAAACTACGGATCACAGAACTGAGCTAAACCGATACATAGGATATTATTGAGCAAAAGAAAACTTACAAAGTTAAGCCCAAGGTTGCCCCGTAAGAGATCGAGTCGTGACCGAAAGTTCCGATAATGATAAAACTACATTACCAAGTCACAGATCAAAGCTACAGAAAAATTATCAGGCAACAAAAACTTACAGTGCCTAAAAGATATGAGCTGCCTAAAAGATATGAGCTTGGGACCATCTAAAACCAAAGCCTCCGAACAATGAACAAGCCACTCCTCACCATCTGGCAGATCAAAACCACAGAAATTATGCAAAAACAAAGACTAACAGTCTCAAATAATGAGCAAACTTTTTACGATGTTCTTGATGTCCTTTACTTCTGTGAGTGTGTGTGCCAACAAATATCACAGTACCGAACTAAACAAATTAAGCCATGATAACTATTGGGTAATAAATAGCCTTACAGTTCCTAGCGCAAGGTCGCTCTGTAGGGCAGTTAAATCCCTGGACTTTGAAAAAGGAACTCCCAAATTATAGTCCATTCTCAAACTGGCAGATCAGAACTATGAAAAGAATCATTGGGCAACAAGAAACTTACAACGCCTAACGCAGACACCACTCTGTAAAAGAGTCCTTGTCCCCAGGGTTTTTTCCAAACCAGAACTCCTATAAAGCTCTTCTTCAATATCTTACTGCTGCTTAAAGTGCCAAACACAAGATTTCAGTGATGTTTTGAAGCTAGAACTCTGAAATAACAATCAATCTACTCTTCCACCATTTGATTGATTAAAGCCAATGAAATTGGTGGCAACAAAATGCAGCCACCATTTGATTGATTAAAGCCATAGGAATTGGTGGCAACAAAATGCAGCGATAGAATTCCACACGAAGGGGGGGAAGGGCAGGAGGGTGATTCTTATGGTGCATAACAAAAGGATAGCAGCGTGTGCTGACAATATTGCAGACTATATTGCAGAACTGAATGCAACAGATTATGGTACAATACGTATCCAGAAAATAAGAAGCTTACAGTGCCAAAACCAAGGTTGCTCCGTAAGAATTACATGTCAAGTCCATGGGATCTGAACTGAAGCACCCAAATGATAATCAGTTCTGGGCAACTGGCAAATCAAAACCATAAATGAATTTTTTGGCAACAAGAAGCTCACAATGCCTACCGCTACGTTGCTCCATATAAGAGCCCCATTACTTTGTCAAACCAAAGCTCCAAAATGACAATCAAGATAATCTTTGTCATCTGGCCAATCAAAATATATAGAAGAACTACTGGGCACCAAAGGGTTTACAGTGCCTAACACAAGGCTGCCTTTGGTAGACACTCCCAACCAACAACCAAGCTATTCTTATCAAAGCCATAGAATTACCGGGCAACAAAAAGCTTCTGGCGCCTAATGAAAGGTTCCTCTGTGAAATCCCAACTGACAATCCAAGCTATTCTTCACAATCTGGCAGATCAAAACTATAGAAGAGGACGGAAACACAAAATCCTAGTGCCTAGCCCAAGGTTCCACAAGTCCACAGGAAACCGAAACTTCCAAACAACCAAGCTGTTCTTCATCATCTAGCAGGTCGAAACCACAGAAGAAGTATAATGAACCAAAAACAACTGACCGCACAAAAATCCAAGATAATTCTATAAATGATAATAAATAATTCTATACATGTTAATATGTCTCAGGGCTTTTTGATATCAAGGCTCAGAAATAATAATTTAGCTATTCGTCACCATCTGCCGGATCAAAACCAAGGATTATCGGACAACAGAGAACTTACAGTACCTAATGAATTGTTCCTTAAGAAGTGTGAAATCCCTCAAGATGACCAAGCTATTCTTCACCATCTGGCTGATGTGGATAATCAAAACCACAGGAGACTGAGAAAATTTACTGGGCAACAGAGAACTTACAGTACCTAACACAGGATTGAGTAAAAGATATTCTTCATGACTTTTGGAACTGGAACTCGCAAATGATAATCACGATGAATCTGCCAGATTAAAAGCACAGAAGCATATAGAACATAAGCCAAAATCAGTGCATTATCATATAGCGCCACCCTTCATCCATTTAATAAGACACTGTCAAAGATCCCAAATAAATCACGATAAATGAACAAGAAACCTAGCGAGGCAGGAAATAAAACAAATAACAAATAATGATAAATGATGAACAATTTATTGTTTCGATCTTGTTGATTAAACCAGAACTACTACCTGATCCATACTACTCTACAATCTGGCAGCTCAAAACCATAGACGAAGTAGTCCAAACAAAAAAGAACTGGTAGTGCATAACCTAAGTTTGCTTTGTTAATGATGAAGTCCTCAGAGCATTATGAAACCCACTCCTAAAAATTAACGAGATAATCTGCTGAATCAAAACCATGCCAGGATTACTGGGCAACAGAGAACTAACATCGTCTTATGGAAGGTTGTTCCTTAAAATATTTGAGCCCTGACCGTAACTTGCAAATATTATTCTTCAAAGAAGATGAACTCATGAATCACAATGAATCTGACGGCTCGAAAGCATAGAACTACAGAGAAACAAAAACATACATTTTAGAAACACAAAAGAAATTTAGAGAAACGAAAGACTTACAGCGCAAACTTTCTATTATTGAAAGCAAAACCCCAAAATGACAATATCATTGTTCGTCATCAACTGGCCGATCAAAACCGTAGAAGTATTGTGCAACAAAAGACAAACAGTGCCAAAGCAAAGTCTTCTCTCTAAAAAACATCATGTCCTCAAAATATAAACTAGTTTTTGCGAATTAAGGAAAATTTTGGAAACAACTGTCTGTACGCGAAATCAAGGTGGATTAATTCACACAAACAAATTAAAGGAATATGCAGAAGCTAGCTTTGAAAATCCGCGAAGACAAAAAAATCAAGGGAATCTGCAGAAACCAGCTTTAAAATACTGCAAAGACCAATAAAGAAACTATGATCTGCAGAAGCTAGCTTTAAAATACTGCAAAGACCACTAAAGGAACTGGCATCTAGTATGTGCTTCAAATAATATGGACTCACCATAATTTAGTGTCAACCAAATCAGAGAACTGAACTAAACAGATCCCAGTATGAAAACTATTTCCCAATAGAACAACTTACAGTTAAGAAAACCAAAGTTTCTATGGTCCTCAACCTTCTTGAAACGGAAACTTCCAAACTGAAAATCAAGCTATTCTTTCACCTGATAAGTTTAAAGCGATAAAAGCAGAAATGCAAAACAAAACCCTTACAGTGCCCAACTCCAGATTGCTCCATAAATAATCTCCAGTCCTCAAGACCATCTGGATTGCTCTCTACTCCACAGTCTGCCAAATCAGAGCCATACAACGAACCAATAGAACAAACCAATGGAATATAGAACATAAGCCAAAATCAGTGCATTATGCCACCCTTCATCCATCTAATAAGATATAATGTCATAGATCCCAAAAAGAATCACGATAAATGAACAAGAAACCTAGTGAGGCAGGAAATAAAACAAATAATGATAAAAGACGAACAATTTATTGTTACGATCTTGTTGATTAAACCAGAACTCCAGAACTCCTACCTGATGCAAACTATTCTACAATCTGGCAGCTCAAAACCATAGACGAAGTAGTCCAAACAGAAAAGAACTGGTAGTGCATAACCTAAGTTTGCTTTGTTAACGATGAAGTCCTCAGAGCATTTTGAAACCAATTCCTAAAAATTAACGAGATAATCTGCTGAATCAAAACCATGCTAGGTTAACTCGGCAACAGAGAACTTACATCGCCATATGGAAGGTTGTTCCTTAAAAGATTTGAGCCCTGACCATAACTTGCAAATATTATTCGTCAAAATCAAAGACGACGATAAAAAAAATTATTGGGCAACAGAAAACAGAGCATCTAGCCCAAGCTTGCCCCATAAAAGATATTCTTCACGATTTCTGAAATGAGAACCTCACTAATGAAAAAAAGTTGTTCTTCACCATCTAACAGATTAGAAGTATTGAGGTAAAGAGAAACAAACTTGCGATGTAAACGCGTAAAGCATAGACAAACAAAAAAACATGCAGTGTCAGTCAACTAATGCCCCAAACTTTCTATCATTTAACTTGCGATGTGAAAGCGTAAAGCATATGGAAACAAAAAGCTAGCAGTGCCACTTAACATCCGAACTTCCTATTATTGAAAACAGAAGTCCAAAATGATGATAAAGATATTCTTCTTCGTCTGGCTGATCAAAACCAGAACTTACACTGCCTAAGCCAAGGTTGCTCTCTAAAAAAATATCAAGTCCTCAAGACATAAACTAATCTTCTGAGAATAAGGAAGAAGAAAATTGAAACGACTCTGTACATAAACTTGTGCATTGCTTCAGGCAGACTAATCAAAGGACTAGAGAATTAGCTTAAAATACCGTTATCAATCACAGAACTGAACTGAACTGAACTGACCAACTTACAGTTAAGCTAACCAAAGGTATGTACCAGATACTGTCCACGGCCACTCTTCGAACCGAAGCTTCCAAATTGAAAAGAAACCTATTCCTTGCCATCTACCAGATCAAAATTCATAAAAGAAGAATTGGACAGAAAAAATCATACAGTGCCTAAGTTGGACACCAAAAATCTTACAGTACATATCTCAAGACTGCTCAGGAAATGATCTTCAATCTGGTATATCAAAATCATAGAACACCTATCAGAATCAACGGCAGCACTACTACCAGGACTAATCCCATTAACCATCTGAAAATATCAACAGCGAGCAATGCCCTAAGCATGTCCAAGAACGACCAAATCACATAAGGTCAGCGTTAACATACCAGATACCCCAAGAATTGTGTGTTTGGGATCCAATTAAGGTACAACCAAAAGAAGTCAGATCAGCAGAGCACAGAATGATAAAACTGATCTAAAGACAGATCTAACTCCAGCACAGTCAGAACCCTATAGTACAATCAAAACAATTAGACGGTTATAAGTTCAACGATAGCATACCAAATAATTATAACAGTTATGAATTAGGGCCACGACAAATAGAATGGTTATAAGAATGTTAGCACATTTATATTTAACACGCCAGGCACCCCAAAAAAAAGAAAAAAAGAAAAAAAGATGAAATTGATCTAAAATAGAGATCCAAATTGCACAAGAACAAACAAAATAAGTAGAAAGATTGTGAAGTTAGCATTAGAACACATGTTTATCCAATAATCAACGATCAAGTTAACCAATTTATGGTAAAATACTAAGCCAATTTATGGTAAAATATTAACGAAAAGGATCGGTTAATTCGATGAACAACAATCTAACATAGATATCCAACATACATTCGGCATCCAGATCCAAACTGCACAAGACAAATCAAAATAAGTAAAAAGAATATAAGGTCAGCGTAAGCAAAACTAGAGTCCTAACTCCATAATAATCAGTACCTTACATATATTAAAGATCCAAATAACACGAGATGAATCAAAACAAGAAGAAGATAAGGTCAGCGCTGGCAAATCATAGGCAAAACCTGATAGGCCAGAGACATAGACAACGGTAAAATCAATATAAAAGAGAATAATCATGATCGAGATCTAAATCGGACATCATAAAACAAAATAAGGAGATCGATAAAAATTAAAGAGCCAATAACCCGTCAGAGGTTAGAATCAACCCAAAAAAACCTAATAAATCGTTTGATCTAAGATCAACAGAAGATTCAGTGATCAGAAGTTACCAGAAAACTAAAGATCCAAATCTAATCTTTAAAATATCAACCAAAAAACCAAAAAAGGTCAGATTAATAGAATAGAAAACGATAAAATCGATCCAAAATTGAGATCCTACCTCAATAACGATCAGTGCCCTAAAATTATTCAAGATCGAGATCCAAATCGCCCTAACGTATCATCCAAATCGCCCTAACATATCATGGATCAATAATTCCAGAATAATTAGTGGATACATGATCGAGATCGAAATCGCACGACGAAACGAAAAAAAGAACACAGAGCTGGCCTCAAATCGAAAGCTACCAGAGAACGACCGAAAAAAAAAAAGGAAAGGACGAGAAACAATGTGGAGATGTTCTGTACATTAAATAGAAGATTTAAGTCGGTTGAGGGGATGGTCGGTTTGTGGTCGGCGAGGTAAGTGGAACGCGGTTTCTATAAAACACACGAGTTTCCAGCGGCCCGGGTAGCATGAGGAGGTCAAAGTTGAGAAGTTTCCAGTAATTATTCTGTTGGGATTCCTTGTGCGCTGCCGAGGCCCGAGTAGGATAAGGTCAAAGATGAGAAGTTTCCAGCGGAGCTCACGGAATACACTACTTTACGAGGCAGTTTGGCTGAGGGGTCTTATAAAAGAGGAATGCTACATGGACCTAAACCATGGGACAGGGGAAGGGACATGTGAGGCTTCTCCTCCCTATTTTTCATGCACTGTTCATAAACAGTGCATGGAGCAATGGGGAGGGGACAAGTGTCCCCTCCCCTGTCCCATGGTTTGGATCCTTAGGGAATTTCCCTTTATAAAAAACTTTATAGAAAATGGCTGATAGTGATAGTTTTATAAATAAAATTTTTTCAGAGATTTTTATAAATTGTATTTCGTTCAAAAAAAATTACATAAAAGTTTTTTATAAAGTACAGAAAAGCACATCATTTTATAAAAATCAATTTTCGCTTAAAATGGACGAAAATCAGTTAGAAATCTAACGCATATAATTTCCGCTTAAAATGGACGAAAATCACTTAGAAATCTAACACATATATTAAAAAATAATTAAGTACATCAATACATTTCCCATGTGATTTCTCATGGGCATTGTTATTAAGTTATTTTCTATAAAGTGACATCCAACCAAACAAAAGAAAAAGAAAACGCCATCTTTTTTTCTAGCTCGAGAACTAGACAATATATTGATGCGAGAAGAGCTTAATTATGATGTTGATTTGCTTAAACAACAATATTCTAATATTTTTCTTAAGTTAAATGAAGAATAGGGGATCATTTATGATTGCATTATTTATACAATAAAAGCAACATGGTTTATTTTTTATGTATGGAGGTGGTGGAACAGGCAAATTATTTTTATGGCAAACTATAACTGCTAAATTAAGATCAAAAAGCAATATTGTTTTAGCAATTGCTTCCTCCGAAGTAGCTTCTCTTTTATTACCTGGTGGTCGTATAGCTCATTCTAGATTTAAAATACCTCTTACTATGGATGAAACTTCTTTTTATTAAATAAAAAAAAGAACATAGCTCTGTATACTTATTGAATCTTCAGTTTTGATCATATGGGATGAAGCTCCCATGAGTGGTAATTAAGAGATGTCTAATATACCATTTGGTGGAAAACCTATCATTTTAGGTGGTGATTTCAGACAAGTGCTTCCGGTTAAATCGCAAGGATCCAAAGAAGCCATTATTAGTTCCTCAATTACTTTTTCATACCTTTGGTCATACTATCATATTTTTATTTTACATAAAAACATGAGACTATTTAACCCTACATTAAATTTAATCGAGAGAGAATTTGTTTCATCTTTTTAACATTGGATTTTGTGTATTGGAGATGGAACCATAGAGGTTTGATGAAGATGATTGTGATAGCAAATGGATCAATATTCCAAGCCAATTTTTATTGCCTGCTAACAAAAATCCATTACATACCATTATTTCTGAAATTTATGACAATTTGCAAACTTCTTTTTTTAATATTGATTATCTTAAAGAGATTAAGAGGAATTGTTACTCCAAAGAATTGTAATGTGGATGAAATAAATGATTTTATTTTGGATCTTATTTTTGGTAAATCTACAACCTATTTTAGTTGTGATTCAATTCGTTCAACTAGTGGAAACATAGACGAATTAGAGTCGTATTATCCACTAGAATTTTTGGGCACATTAAGCTTTAATGGAATTCCACATCATGAATTGAATTTAAAAATTGGCATTCTGGTGATGTTAATGAGAAATTTAAATCAAGGAATATGTCTTTGTAACGGAACAAGATTGCTAATAACACAATTAGGATTTAAAATAGTGGAAGGAAACGTTATGAGTGGACCCAACCAATGAAATAAAGTATACATCCCACGCATAGTTATTTCTGCCCGTGATACCAAGTGGCCATTCATTCTTAATAGACGTCGATTTCAAAGCATTCTTATTCTATGACAATCAATAAAAGTGAACGACGGTCGCTAAAAAAGGTTGATCTTTATTTGCCAAAACCTATTTTCGGCCATGAAAAACTATATTTTGCTTTATCTCGAGTTACTTCTCCTAGAGGCCTTAAAATTTTGATTAGCCTTACATCTAACTTGACGCCTTCAATGACGAAAAATATTGTTTTTAAAGAAGTTTTGCCTTCTTTTACATAAGGTTTGTTCTTTTTGCTCTCTAAATTGTATAAATAATTTTATCCTTCGTATATAAAATTACTAATCATCATCTTTACTTATCTTTTAGTAATCATCTTTAATTGTAGTCGTAATTTCCAAAAAAATTCAAATATTTCTCATAATTTTATTCTACATTTGTAAGAAAATGACAGACATTGTACCATTGTGTGCTTTGCACCTAAACAATCAGATGGTGGCTAAAGAGTGAGGATATCTCGCATCTGGAAGAATGTTAACACTAAAACAGGAGAAATAAGAAGTTTAGATTGTTTGATTGTTGATGAACAAGTAAGTTATTATTAACATTTGTTATTTAATCACATTATCAACATACTTTTGTAGTTTTTTTGTGCATTTCTTTCTTCATATTGCTTTGTCACACATATAAGATGATATAGAAGCTGTTATCAGATCCGGTGATGCTAACCACTTTTTATAAATGTGGAAATAGTGAGCACAACGACAAGGCCAGTAGGAAATGACGAAAGAACAGGTTTGGGTGTTGTGCGGTCGACCGCGTGTGGCACGGCGGTCGACCGTAAACGTGCACGAGGCTGAGTTCTGTTCTGTATTAGGTCGTGGTCGACCGTGCGTGGCGCGACGTGTTGACCCTATAGTTTTGATGATGATTTGTCAAACAATTTATAGCTAATATATTCTCTAGTTTTGTGTTTATATTTCTCTTTACAGGTATTTCAACACACGTCAATCATGCGGTAAAGATTCAAGTTTATATGTGTGGATTTACCTAGGTATAAGTTTAGTTTACTTACATATATTGTATGATTAGATCTAAGCTCAATATATGTATACTTAACACGATTTTTGACGTTTTCTATCATATAAATGTTTTTTCATCAAACGTTGTTACAATATCTTATATCTCATATTTACAGCTCTTTCATAATTCATTATAAACATATAATACATGCATAATATATACATACATATTTACAAGCCTTATGTTAATTTTTATGTTCACGAAAAACAGGTTTTCTGAACACTTTTCAAAAACAGGGAGTTTTCACAAACGAAAATTGATTTTCCAAAAATTCCTTTTCAAACATGTTTATTTCATCATTTAGAAACTTTCTCCAAAGTTTCACTATTTTTGTAATTGATTTGATATTTTAAATAAATATTCAAAATAGCCCAAAAACCTGTCATATGAGATATATCAGTTTTTGGTCGACCGGCGCAGTCGACCGCCAATGGTATATTTCCTTGGTACGGCCTTTTTTTGTGCTCGCGGTCGACCATGGCGGTCGATTGTGAAAACATCCAAAGACTTTCGCGGTCGACTGCCAGCCTTATTTTCTCATACCCTGTGTTTTTGAGCTTCGCGGTCGACCGCACCGATCGACTGCCGAACTGTCAGTTCACTTCTAACGGCTAGTTTTTACAGCTGTTTTCAAATTGGTTTTTTAGTCTTTTACTTATGCTTTTGCTGATGTATTGGGGTGCTATAAATACCCCATTGCTGCTCTTCTTCTATAGAGCCAAGAAATCCAAGTTTTGTGTTTAACAAAATCTTAAGTGTGTTTAAGAGTTGTTTAAAGTTGATTTCATCAATCTGTTTTCAATAGAAGTTTTTCTACAACAAGAAATGGCCTTCAAATCCTATTGGGATCATCATCTACTGTTCTTCTTGTTTGATAAGTCTTCTAAACTCTTATATAGCTTGTTATTTCATTTTTATTTCATTTAGCTATATTTATTGAGTTTCATTCACTGTTATCACACACACTTATTGAGCTTAATATTTTCATACCATATAGTGTGGGTTGTGGGGTGTGATTGAGTGAGTGTGAGCTTCATTATATTCTCACTTGTTATTTGAGAACAAATCATTGTATTTAACTTTTATTTGTGAAAATCACTTGTAATACACTTGTACACCGAGAGAAGTGTGAGGCGAGACACGGGGTCAAATCCAATAGGAGTGGCGTCGGTTGACGAACCTAGGGAGAGGTTGTAACCGAGCACTTGAGGAGGAGGACACGGGGTAGGTTCCTACACTTAGTGTGTAAGGTGTAATTACATAGTGTCTGTGTAGTGTAAGAGTTTTCGGTGATCTTGTAAACTGAGTGTGTAGAAGTTCCGGCTTCCAAACCGGATTGTGATAGTGGATATCTCCTCGAGGTGAGGAGCGGGGACGTAGGTCGTGGTGACCGAACCTCGTAAACATATCGTGTGTTTGTGTTTTGCCTAGCGTATAGTCTTATTTGTGCTTTTTCTTATTGCTCTTATTGTTCTTATTCATATCTATCTCTTGCAAGAATAAATTGATCTACATATTTTTTTAATTGGCAATTAATTGAGATTAGATTAGTATAAGACCCTAATCACCCCCCCCCCTCTAGGGTCTAACACGACGGTCGACCACCAAAAGTCCAGAGACTCTGGAAAGTTTCTGTCGTTTTCACGA